CAATATGTCCCCCTAAATCCTACACACTGGACCTTTAATAAACATATGCAGTTTATCATCTGCCATGTTTGCAGGGGGTGGAGTTTAAGTTGGAGATCAAGAATCTGGCACTGTCGGATCCAAAAGGACATGATCTGGAGAAGGAGATTGTTGTCCGAGTCACCTCTGTGGGAAGAAAACAGGTCAGTCCATCTGTCTGAATGTATCTTAATGCACCCCAGCTCATTATCTTGCTATAATTTCAGTTGGATTCTTTGTCTAAACTACTGTCACACTTCCTCCCCAGGTGTGGATGTGGTCCAAGGCCAAGTTTGTGAACCGTAAATTCCTGATGGAGGAAGCCTACCAGCAGCACCAGGCTGAGAGGAGCAGAGACAGTGTAATTCAATAAATAGAACATTGCTCAAGTTTTTCAAAATGTTGCAAAGAGACTTTTTACAAATTAACAGAAATGTATTTGTGTGTCTGTTTTTGCTGTCCCTTCTTTGATGTTGTAGATAATCAGCAATCCTAAAAATGTTGATCTGTCTTTTGGTTCTTGCCGTCAGAGAGTCGAGGGGCTTTCTACAGTTGCATTACCCAGAGACAAAGACCCGTTCTGGGATCCTGTGGAGCCTCTGCTCCTGGGCACTGCTCACCTCTGGCTGCAGTCTTTGGCCTTCCGCATCCCTCTGGAAGAGCAACTCGAGGTACACACACACACTACATATACACACACACCTCCACATCTGACAGTATTGTTGGATGGTACTGAGAGGTGAACACAGAGTGGTATTTGGCTGATGATGTCAAGGGAAGGTCAGTCTTCCCTTTGATGAATAAAAGAATAACTTCATGAGCTTCAGTTGTCATGAATTGAATATATTAGTTTATTACAGCATCTTGGTACAGCATGCATAGACATAGTCATACCAAAAACTTAAATTAACATTACATTCACTCACCCTCATACAGGGTATCCTACATCATACATGTATAATCAGGCTACCAGGGGGGAGACAAAACAATGTTGAGTAACCCTCGGTCCAGACTAGTGAAGGTCTTCTTCTTATTTTACCCTCCAGACACCCTGAGCCTCCTCATATAAAGTATGCCAAGTGTGACAGACTGAGGCCTTCCAAATTACCAGACTCTGACAATACACAAACCACACATTTCTTCATATTTAATATTTATTTCTACCACAGTTGATAATCTCTGTGTGCAGGTGCTGGGGTCAGAGGGCACAGAGGAGGCCATTCTACAAGCACAGCTGGTTCCCTGCAGCTCCACGGGACTGTATGACACACACACAATGTGAATAATCCTAATAAGCACATAGAGATACATTAGTAAATAATATCTCTCACCTTTCAGCCCTCTGGGTGAAGACGACATTCTGATCGACCCGTCTGAGTTACTGGGTCGACGACTGGACTTCCAGCTGGTCCTGGAACAGTGCTGTGGCCTGTGCTGGATCAGAGAGGCCCGCAACAGAGGGGTCCAAATTGGGTGAGGCATATGTGGCTACATGTGGAGACATGGAAGTGCAGGGATGATACAGAGAATACCTACAGTGAATTATGGCCCAGGAACTGGAGGTCAAGATTGGGAACAGGGGTCATCAATGAATTTAGTATTTTATATATGTAATAAAAGAAGTCATAAAAAAGTCATAGTATATTATGTCATTAAAAAAGCAGAACATGCACAGGGACCATGTCGGGGGTCACCAGTGAATTTAGCATAGATTTTTTTTTTCTGTTTTCTGTGGCATTTTTAGTACAGTAATGTCATGATAGAGTTTTGGAAAATAACTGTCTTCTGACTTCACACATCCAGAAGTGAGACACTGTTCTTTGTTCTCCTTCATTCTCCTCCACTCACTCAGTTTCAGGTTGTTTGACTGCAGTCAGCCTCTCTACACTCCGGCTGTATGGCATAATGTCAATCCTCTGCTGGATCACAGAGTTCATTTTGCCTCCCTCCACACCTCCCAACGTCTGCTGGACTACCTGCAGAGCAGCGCTGTAGTGCTGGAGCTCTGGGGCCTTCAAGGTGAGGATGAAGAGATGGACGCATGATTGGACAAGAAAAAAATCTGGAGGCCTTGATCTCATGGATTTCAGTAAATATTTGCTACAAACAGTGCATGTAAAATCAGTATGCTATATAGTAGTATTTAGTACATAGTTATGAATACTTTATTTCACACTGCTGTAAATGATCTCCTGTCCTAGCAACAGCTCAAAATGAAAGTAATCAGATATTACCACCCAGTCTGATGCTCCCTCAGACTCATTAGAGCGGCTCCCTGTCAGACACATCTCATTATTATCATGTTCACGTCAGTGCTAAAAATGTACAACTGACAAAATAAACAGTAGGTATCGTTAAAGCTGCCGATGCGTGTTGGCTTTCTGTTCCAGAGGGTTGTACTGACCTGATCTCATCTCTGGAGGGAGTGAGGATGACTACAGAGGGTATCTTCATCATTGAAGAGGCAGGCACAACAGACATGGCAGTGAGTTTAACACTGAGTTTATTACAGTACATTATGTATTCTTGTTGAACATGTTTCTGAAATGTTGCGTGGAACAAAAAAGAAATGTTATTTTTTATTATGGAAAGAATTATCTGGACAGCGATCATGTCTTTATTTTGAACCTTCTCATTTTAAATGTAAAGTTTTTATCCATAAATGCAAATGGTCTGAAAGGAAGCCCAATGTCCAGCACTTCAAGCATGAAACTGTACTTTTTGTAACATATTTTTTGGGCACTTTGGGCACCACAAGCTGAGCGCCATTTAGTTCCATTAACGTGAGAGAAGGCAGACATCTCTACGACCGACCTTGCCAACACTCAGCACTTTTGATTTTGGGTTCCTTTAATGAGAAATTTCAAGCAACAACAATCATAATGCAAAAATTTCAATAACTGTGCTCATATAAATGAGTGTGTGTGTGTGTGTGTGTGTGTGTGTGTGTGTGTGTGTGTTGCAGCCTGTAGACTCCACAGAGCTCAGCTGTTCAGTCAGAGTTCTTCAGCAGGACTTGGAGGAGCTGAGGAGTGTTAATGCATCACTGAGAAAAGAGAATCACAGTCTGAGAGAACAACTCAGTGCAGCCAGGAACAGTAACTGAGATATGACAGTTCAGAGTCATACACTTTGGATGGAAAAATATTCATACTCATGAAATATAAAAAGTAAGATTATATGACACCTTCCTCCGTCTGTGTGTTAGGTGGGGAGAGTGTGCGAGGTCGATCGGTGCGTCCCAGCTGTGATGCAGAGTTTGCTCGTGCTCTCAAAGTTTTCTACCACAGCATGACCTCAGTCAGGGGTCAGCTGCAACGCCTACGCAGACACAGGCCCAGTGTACGTATCCATGTCTAGACCCTGGTGGTGGTAGAGGTGGTAGCCCTAGAGCATACAGTACATGTTTGCGGTAAACTGCTGATGTTAGTTTTGAGGTTATGTGTTCCTGTTGTTTCCAGGAGGAGTCCGACCTGCTGGGGCTCAGACTGTTTGTGGACGAGCAGAGTCGTCTGCTGAGGGACTTTTCCGAGCAGCTGGAACAGAGCGTCTCCACACTCAAACAAGATGTAGCCGCCATCGTCCGCCGCAAACGAGAGCGATCGGGAATCTGGTCTTGACTGAGTTACATGTTTACAGATTTCTTACAAAGTCTTATGAATGTCTCTGTTCATTCTTTCCTTTAAAACACTGCAGCAGACATTTCCAATGTGAGGTGTGAGGTGTGTGTGTAAGGTGAAGATGCTGCCCTTTCTAAGTAGTTGTTTCCAAATGTGGTCACTGAACTGAACGTTTACATGTTACTGATATTTGCAAGATTCATAAAATGATGTCAAGATACAGATTTGTCATTTGATGTAATTGGATTTCTTTTTTACTAATAGTTACTTTATATGCCTCCATGCAGGCGACAGCCGTCGCTAGAGGCATTACGTTTTCGAGTTGTCCATCCCGTTCTTGCGATTGTGATATCTCAAGAACACCTCAACATAATTTCTTCAACCTTGGCACTACTGGCCACTTGGACTTAATGATGACCTGATAGATTTTGGTGGTCACTGGTCAAAGATCAAGGTCACCATGACCCTACATCCATCTCATTCTCGCGAACGCAATATTTCAAGAACATCTTCTGGGAATTCCTTCAAATTTGACACAACCATCCACTTGTACTGTGGACTGAAGAATAAACTTTAGATTAGAATTTGGTGGTTGAAGGTCAAGGTCAGCGTGACCTCACCAAACATGTTTTTGGCTGTAACTCAATAATTCCTATGCTAATTATGACAAAACTTCACACAAATGTCTAATAGGATATAATTCTAGTTTCTGTAAATAATTTGGTATTCAGATGTCTTAACCATTTCAATCAAAATACATATTATTTTTAAAGAATTGAACTGGCTCCCTGTTAAAGGTAGAATTTAACAGTTAAAGCATAATATGGTTTACAAGACTGTACAAGGTCTATGTCCAAATTATTTTACCGGTGTGTTTGGAACTGTCATGGCCTGAGGGCTAGTGTGTCTTACCTGAAACAACCCAGTCTAAAAAGTAAAGTAGGAAGAAGCACATTTTCTCTAGGGGGGAGGAGTGGAGTAAATTCCCAAGTGAAATTAAATCTGCATATTCTGAATATAAAAAAATGGTGAAAAAAAGGGACGCTGAATAAGTTAGTCTATTGTAGGACAGTTCTCAGTTTCTGGTCTGGTTTCTGAATTTGAGTGTTTTTATTTTATCACTGTATGACACTGTTATTTTTATGTATTTTCATCATGTGTATCAGTGTGAAAATGGGATATTAGTAGCATTTACATGTCATTCCCTGTTCTTGCCTTCCTCTTCAGAGCCGCAATGGAAAAAAGTCAGGTGATTGTGTGCACATTTGTGCACTGTAGTTTAATTTATCAAATAAATTAAGTGACCACCAGTCAGTAAGAATAAGGACACAAGTTCAGTATTAACAGAATAACAAGAGCACATTAGTCTATAAAAAGTTTATTAGACTGCATGTAAAAGAAGTCATTACAGTCCCAAACTGCAAATAAATTAAAAGGCAAATACAACTCAAGTTTCAAAATTCACAATATTATATTTTTTAACCATCGTTGATAACGTGTCATATTTTCAAGCGACTGCGGTTCACTCTGAAGCTGTATCACAGCATGACATCAGAAACTGGGGAGCAAGGAGAGCTCTTCTTCCTCATGTCTCAATGGGGGGGGGGTGTTAATATTAATGATCACAGACTGCCGTGAACTAACAAGAATGAGATATTTAATAAGATTTCCTCTTGAGTTCAATGACGGTGTCTGACACAGCATCTCTCGTTTTGTCCAATTCAGAGGTAAAAGCACAACGGTTAATGTTAATAAGCAGTCGTGAATCGAAAGAATACAGACAGTTGCTGTAGGTCCAGAAAAAGATAAGCGTGGGCCCATTTACAGGAGGAGAGGCAGAAGGCAGATGTGAGGCAGATTAGTCATCAAATAGAACAGACAATATGTACAACAGAGAGGCAGGCAGGTACGCTGACAGTAGGTGGTTGGTCATGACAGGTGGAGACAGACAGGAGGAGAGAGGCAGCAGTAAAAGGCCAGAGAGTTGAACTGAAGAGGTAGACTGGAAAAACACAAAGCCAGCTGTGGGAAGGACGGACAGACAGCGACAGATAGCCTACTGATGAGTGTGTGTGTGTTGAAGGCAGAAACCATGAGTGAGTCAATTAAGTGTGTTTGATTTTTATATTTTACATAAGTTCAGAAATATTCATGTTGAGTTCATGAGGTTTTTTTTTTGCTTTACATAAAGCACCTAATAATGTAAATGTGTGTGTGTGCGCCCACAGGTACAGAGAAGGCTGAGGGTACAGGTGAGGTAGGTTAATTGGGTCTCAAGGGAACAAAACACAAATTATAGAAAAACATTTACACTATACACCTCCTGTAACATTTACTTAAACGTAAAATAATGTCAGAGAAAATGTAGCAATGCGCTATTAGCAAACTTTTTTTTTTCCTACAGTATCACTGCCAGTTATCTGCACCTCTTTGGGTAAGTCTCAGTTCTATGTCTGAACAACAAAACAAACAAACAAACACCAGCAAAGAGCATGTACAATAGCAGTTAAAGTACATTATCAAGTACAGTGGTGAAAATTACATTAGAAAAAAAGCACTCAGCTCTCAAAAACAACCTTTCAGCCTCGTGTATGTGATAGATTTCAGAATAGTTGATTTCATTTTTAAGCTGCACTCCAGTCATCGCAGCCAGGGGACTTTCTAAATTTGGGTTACAATACTCTGGATATCAGCCACCTTTGATCAGTACGCTGCTTCTTTTATTTTTTGGACAACTACTCTTCTAACTCTATCAAGCTAATGCAGACATGTCAGTGCTAAGATGACTTGGGGAGGCCAAAAAGCAGCATGAGCTGGAATAAATGTGAGTGTGTGTCTAAGTGCACACACATTATTCCAGCTCACTTCACCCGACCATGTCTGTATTATATCACCGTCTTTCTGACTCTGAAACAACCCTTCTACATTCTGGGTTACAAAGATCTGTCAGCTCCCTCCATTAGTCTCTCTCCGGTCACCACTGGAGGCGAGAATTGAAATTTGAAAAAAAATATGACAGTTGGTGTCTATCTCTCATTCACTCATGCTCTCTCATACACACTCATGTAATGAAGCTTTCAGCAGCAGATGGACAATTTTCACAGTATAAAAATATTTCACTAAACCACAGAGAGGTCCACGATTTTACATTAAGCCCATATGTATCAGTAGCTGAAGCCACACAAAGATAAACATCGTTCATTAAGAGCTGCAGTCCAGAGCAAACAGGTCGGGAATAATCAAGTCTTAGTACAGACTGACTTCAGTAAGTCAACTTTTATGTGAGAGTAGGCAAACCAGTTAGGAGTGTTACAAAAGCAATACTCGGCAGTGTTCACATATTTAATAATATTCATGTAGGTCCTGCAAGATGGTGACAGATCATGTTTTGGAAATAATGCTAAGTGTTCTTGTAAGTCTGATGACATCCCACTTTTTTTAGTGTTTCCTATTCAGTGCCAGCTCTGGTTTACCTGGGTACAACCAAAATGATCCCTGAATAATGTCAGCATCACTGATGGAGGTGTTGTTGGCTCAGCCTGACAAGTATTCAAGGGACATCTGCTGTGTAAATTCAAACTGTTACGTAAACAAACTTGTCCAGCTAACAGTGACACTAAACTGAATCTATGCAAGATCAGTCAAGTTCAGTGACTGATCTGTGTTAGCCACACTGCTAACAAATGATCAGCAAGGAACTGACGGCAATAATCAGCACCACAGCACTCACTGGTACATTCTCCACCTTCAAGGGAAACTCCTACACACTAAACAGACGGGTGTGTATCAGCACAGGGCAAATCTTCCTTTAAAAGGCATCGACAGCATCTTTATAATAATCGCCTCTTCTCAGGCGCTGGTGCCGTCATTCTCTGCAGCTTGGCTGTCACTTCCTGTTGTTCCGTAGGTGATGAGTGTAGGTGGGGCCTCAGATTCGTCTCGCTGGCTGCCATGCCTTGAGTTGCTGTCTATCTGATGGAGGCTGCCGTGAGCGGAGAGCGGGTGGTCGAGACGTGGCATGCTGCCATGGAAACTGCACTCCTCTGTACCTCGGTGAACCATAGTATCACTCCTGAGGAAGCAGAGGGAAGGAGAGAAATCCTTAGTTTGACCTCATTCACAACTTTTGACAGAGAAACAGGAAGTCATGGATTTCCCGCTCTACCTGTCGTCACGAGTGCGGCGCAGGCTGCCGTGGTAGCTGGCCTTGCTGTGGACACTACTGGCCTTACTCCTGGTGGAGGTGGGATGGCCATGGTGAGTTCTGACTGGCTCATCAAGGTCATCTAGGACAGCCAAGTGGGTGGAAGAGGCGTGGGTAGATGTGCCCTACAGGAGGATGACAAGAGGTCAGATGGATGTAATAACTACTGGCATCAAAATCTGGGACAAAGATTTGGTCTTAAATGTTTTGTTAAATAGTTAAATATAAGTTAGGCAAAAAAATACATATATCACAACATAAAAACATGTTTATATTCTGTACCTGCTCATTCCATCACTTAAATGAAGTAAAGAATCTATTAGGATGTTAAGATATTATTAGTCATTAGTCATTAGATAGTATGTTGTAAAAGTCATGCTATGGTATGTTATAAAAAATCATAGTATAGTTATGTTATAAAAAAAAGTCATGGTGAAGTTGTAAAGTTGGTTTTAACATGTTGGCTGTTTTAATGATTTAGCCACTACAATAAAGGCTTTTTAATACTTTCTTCCTTAGTATAGCATATATAGTCATAGTATAGCATGTTAAAAAAGTCATAGTATAGTATGTTAAAAAACAAAAAGTCATAATATAGTATGTTCAAAAAAGGCATAGTATAGTTTGTAAAAAAGTCACAGCATGATATGTAAAATAAAGTTATGTATAGTATGTTAAAAAAAGTCATACTATAGTATGTTAAAAAATCATAGTATAGTGTGTTAAAAAGTCATAGTATATTATGTTAAAAAAAAGTCATAGCATAGTATGTTAAAAAAAACCCATAGTAGCCTATACAATAAAAAAGGCATAGTATAGTATGTTAAAAAAGTCACAGTATAGTGTGTTAAAAAAGTCATAGTATAGTATGTTTAAAAAAATCATAGCATCGTATGTTAAAAAAGTCATAGTATAGTATGTTAAAAAAGTCATAGTATAGTATGATAAAAAAAGTCATAGCATAGTATGTTAAAAAAGTCATAGTATAGTATGTTAAAAAAGTCATAGTATAGTATGATAAAAAAAAGTCATAGTATAGTATGTTAAAAAAAGTCATAGTATAGTTTGTCATAAAAAGTTATAGTTTAGTATGTTAAAAAAGTCATAGCATAGTATGTTAAAAAAAGTCATAGTATAGTGTGTTAAAAAAGTCATAGTATAGTATGTTAAAAAAGTCATAGTATAAGTATGTTTAAAAAAAGTCATAGTATAGTTTGTCATAAAAAGTTATAGTTTAGTATGTTAAAAAAGTCATAGCATAGTATGTTAAAAAAAACTCATAGCATAGTATGTTAAAAAGTCATAGTATAGTATGTTAAAAAAAGGCATAGTATAGTATGTTAAAAAAGTCAGTATAGTATGTTAAAAAGTCACAGTATAGTATGTTAAAAAAAACTCATAGCATAGTATGTTAAAAAAGTCATTGTATAGTATGTTAAAAAAAGTCATAGCATAGTGTGTTAAAAAACTCATAGTATAGTGTGTTAAAAAAGTCATAGTATAGTATGTTAAAAAAAGTCATAGTATAGTATGTTTAAAAAAAATCATGGCATTGTATGTTAAAAAAGTCAGTATAGTATGTTAAAAAAAGTCATAGTATAGTGTGTTAAAAAAGTCATAGTACAGTATGTTAAAAAAGTCATAGTATAGTATGTTTAAAAAAAATCATGGCATTGTATGTTAAAAAAGTCATAGTATAGTATGTTAAAAAAGTCATAGTACAGTATGTTAAAAAAGTCATAGTATAGAATGTTAAAAAAAGGCATAGTATACTATGTTTAAAAAGTCATAGTATAGTATGTTAAAAAAGTCATAGTATAGTATGTTAAAAAAAAGTCATAGTATAGTATGTTAAAAAAGTCATAGTATAGTGTGTTAAAAAGTCATAGTATAGTGTGTTAAAAAAGTCATAGTATATTAAAAAAAATTCATAGCATAGTATGTTAAAAAAGTCATAGTATAGTGTGTTAAAAAAGTCATAGTATCGTATGTTAAAAAAGGTCATACTAAAGTATGTTAAAAAAACTCAAAGCATAGTATGTTAAAAAAAGTCATAGTATAGTGTGTTAAAAAGTCATAGTATAGTGTGTTAAAAAGTCATAGTATAGTGTGTTAAAAAAGTCATAGTATAGTATGTTAAAAAGTCATAGTATAGTATGTTAAAAAGTCATAGTATGCTATGTCAAAAAAGTCATAGTATAGTATGTTAAAAAAAGGTCATACTAAAGTATGTTAAAAAAAAGTGATAGCATAGTATCATAGTAGCCTATAGTATGTTAAAAAAGGCATAGTATAGTATGTTAAAAAAAGTCATACTAAAGTATGTTAAAAAAAATCACAGTATAGTATGTTAAAAAAAGGCATAACATAGTATGTTAAAAATGTCATAGTATAGAATGTGTAAAAAAGTCATAGTATAGTATGTTAAAAAAAAGGCATAGTATAGTATGTTAAAAAAGGCATAGTATGGTATAGTATAAAAAGTCATAGTATGTTATAAAAAGTCATAGTATAGTATGTTAAAAAAAGGCGTAGTATAGTATCTTAAAAAAGACAGTATGGTATGTTAAAAAAGTCATAGTATAGTATGATAAAGTCATAGTATATTTCGTCATAAAACGTCATAGTATAGTATGTTAAAAAAAGTCATAGTATAGCATGTTATAAAAAGTCATAGTATAGTTTGTCATAAAGTTATAGTTTAGTTTGTTAAAAAAGTCATAGTATAGTATGTTAAAAAAGGCATAGTATACTATGTTTAAAAAGGCATAGTATAGTATAGTATAAAAAGTCATAGTATAGTATGTTAAAAAAGGCATAGTATAGTATGTTATAAAAAGTCATAGTATAGTTTGTTAAAAAGTCATAGTATAGTTTGTCATAAAATGTCATAGTATAGTATATTTAAAAAAAGTCATAGTATAGTTTGTCATAAAGTTATAGTTTAGTATGTTAAAAAAATCATAGTATACTATGTTAAAAAAGGCATAGTATAGTACAGTATAAAAAGTCATAGTATAGTATGTTTAAAAAAAGGCATAGTATAGTATAGTATGTTATAAAAAGTCATAGTATAGTGTGTTAAAAAGTCATAGTATAGTGTATTAAAAAAGTCATAGTATAGTATTTTAAAAAAAGTTATAGCATAGTACGAATAAAAAAAGTCATAGTACAGTATGTTAAAAAAGTCATAGTATAGCATGTTATAAAAAGTCATAGTATAATATGTTAAAAAACGGCATAGTATAGTATGATTAAAAAAAAGTCATAGTATAGTTTGTCATAAAAAGTTATAGTTTAGTATGTTAAACAAGTCATAGCATAGTATGTTAAAAAATAGTCTCGCTCACCAGACCTTTCTCAAGAAAAGAAAGGTCTGGCTGGGCCGACTCTCACTTTAAGATTGGAGAAAAATACGCCCCAGCTGCTTGTATTTCTTTCAACCAATCACAATCGTTCTTGGCGGTGCCACAGCAACGGTGCGCTTGCAAAAATATTGCCGGGGGGAAACAGGTTTTGGTGTAACACGCCCACAAAAATATCGTCTACAGGACACGAACCATGGCAGAAAAATGGCTACATCCCCGCAAGATCAAACACTGCAAAAGTTAGTAAAGGACGTGTTGAAAACTGCAACCGGAGGTGGTAGGGCGGGACTTCAGCGGGTGGCTCGTTCTGCCCAATGAGAGGCTGATCTCTGCAGCGAACTTCCACCCACTCAGACTAGTTAAAAAAAGGCATAGTATGTTAAAAAAAAGTCACAGAATAGTGTTTTTAAAAAAGTCATAGTATAGTATGTCATAAAAAGTTGTTGCTTCTACAACTAGTATTACAGTGATTACTGCTGTACCGCCACTGTGTTTAGAGTCCTACCTGAGTGGATGTTCCTCTGGACTTCCTGACAATGGGGGTGTTGGGTTCACGCAGCAGAGACTGGGCAAAGTCTGGCTGCTCCTGCAGCACCTGACGAGACTCATTGACCCCACTGCTACAAAGAGAGGAGGTTGAGAGAAGGCAGGAGTGAGTGGTTTAATATTGGGAGAAAAGGGGAAGGTAGGGGGGAAATAGGTAAGCAGACAGATAAACCAGCTGTAGTCATAACCAGTAGTAATCGAATGTATGCATTCTCCCCCCTGCCCTCCCCTAAACTCTCTGTCTGAAGCAATAAATTCACACAGATAATAAAAAATAAAATACAAAATTATTATCAAATAGCATAATCAATTATGCAATACATGTGCTTTCACAAATTTGTTTTGAGTCTATCCTTGGAAAAAAACCTGGCCTAGAAAGCATTAACACAAAATTATATACAGAGAGAAAAATAAGGCCTAAAACAAATAAAAATTATCCAGTCTCTCTTCTTACTCTTTGCGTCTGCGTCCATGCAGGAAGCTTGCCCATTCAAAACAGGTCTTCTTACTGCCCACCCAGAAAACTGAGGGAATCCCCACCACCAACATCATCAGATATTTAAGTAGGAACATAACCATGGCTGGGCGGCCGGTCTGCTCCACCTAAAGAGAACAAAAAAATTAAATATTGAATCATCCAATAAAGACAACAAACAATGCTGAAATACAGCCTGGATTGTAAAAACAGCTACAGAAGGTGAAAATACTTTATTATTGCTTTAAAGTATTTAAGTACAGGACACATATTTCCTCAAGAGTAACACAGTAAAGAAATATAAAATGCTCAGGATGCCTGTGAAACTACTTGCACATTAAGTAGACCAAAAGTATCCAGCAGTAACAAATGTTTTTGACCCAGTCAGTCAGGATGAATGATGGACAAGTGGAGGTAATCCTAGAAAACCCCAGCTGCTTCAGCAGCTGAACTGCAGCAACTGCTCTCTCCTCAGCTGGTCTTGAACTTTGACGCAGGACACAGTATCTCCCACCAGAGGGCAGGAGCTCACAGCAGATGTGAAGATTGAGCGCTAAGAGCTGCTTTAAGTTTTCAAATATAAATAGAGAGCAAATCTAGGTAGTAGAGAAAGTAATAATATTTTTGAATTAAGTTCTCCTTTGAGTCATGACTTTATCTTTCTGAAAGATAAAACTCCACTGAGGAGCCATCAAACGCACAGCAACTGCTGTAATAACAACAAACTGCTGAGGCTGAGCGACCAAAACAATCATAAACACAGCAGAGTCCACTGTGAACAAACCATTACAGAGTCACAGATGGTGCTCTCACGCTGCCATGGTGCTGTGGGGTGTACTGCATGGAAAGTACACAAATATGGGCATTTTGTGTTTTCTTTGATTTTATTTGAATTTTGACTGACATGACTTTTGTAGTAACACAAACAACTATGGACCTTTTAAAATTGACGACCTGCAAAGAGTAGTGGCTACAGACATGATGCCGTACTTAAAAAGATGTGGGTGCAACAAACTTTTCCATTAAAAATAAGTTTATATCCTGGTAATTAATCGTGCTGTTAACAAAGCATTTTCAAACTCACAGCAACTCCTACAGACAACTCCTATGGTAGGAGGTAATTAGAAGGCATTTATTGCTTTTGAAAGAAGAATTGGTATGCATTAATTAGCTTTAGTCTGTCTCGCCCAGGCTGAGAGTAAATGTCTCAGATTTAGGTCCTGAGATATAACAAGATGCCCTGGGCCTTCAGTAAATTACCACCCATGCACACATGCACACAAATGAAGTCACTTGAACTTGAACAATGGCTGCACAATCTTCAATTATCCAAAAACATGCAATTGTACCCTCTTACACATTTGCACGCAGAAACCCCCAGGGTCAGGATCAAGTAACACATAGCAACACTGAAATTCCAGAGCTACAATAGGACGTAAAGGGGTTCTCTCTCCTTATGAGCTCTCTCTCACACACAGCTACAGACACATGCATGCACACATACACTAACAAGTAACATAAGCACTTGCACCTGCCTCCACCCCCTCTCATATAGTCTGTCAGTCACAAATTAGCTGACACTTTTCGATTATGAAACCACTGTAACAGCGCTCAGCAGAATGACGGAAACATAAACAAACACTAAAAGTTTTGTTATCTTATCATTTATGTGTGAAACTGACATAAAGCTTTTGCTGTCTTGTGTGTCTGTACTGTGCACATTTATTAACTCATTAATTTCACAACTAACTGTATTAAAACACCACACACACTCCCACTACTCTTCACAACCGCTACAAAGACGTTATAGATTACAGGCAGCAGAGCATGACTGAGCAGGCCCTGAGAGAGAGACAGACACAGAGAGCGACAGAGAGAGTAGAGGGGTGGAAGGGGGAGACTGAGTGAGAGGTTGAGAGGCTGAAAGAAGTAAGTGTGTGAGAACCAGCAGAGAGAGTGAAAGACAAAGAGACAGGGGAACAGAGATGGCAGTTTTGTATGGAGTTGGCCTTGAGAGCTGTATTAGCTGAGCTAATGATGCATACAGTGCTCTGCTACCTACCCTCCACAGATACCTCACTCAGCCACACACGTGCAACTGGCAGATCTCTCACTCATTCACCCAAACAAGCACACACACTGTGTCTGCTCACTGAAGGTTTATTTCAGTTTATTACAATTTGGATCTTCTTGTGGGTTTGGCCATTATTTCTGTTGGTGATAATAAAGTCTTATGGTGCAGGAACAAGAATGAGTCAGAAGATTAAACAGGTTGAAACTAATGCAAACAGTAAACTTAATACCCCAAACTGTCAGTCTTAAGAATCCATTACAGAACAACAACCTGCTTTAAATTTGATGTACTGTATTTATCTATTATTTTGAGGCTTTTTTTGAAGCAACAAACAATGCATTAGATCTCAAGCAAGTGCCACAATAAATAAGCTGCGTCCCCCGGCCTTGTCTAGATAAGGAAGGTTGGGTCCAAGATAGTCAAGAATTTTTCAACTGATTTGGTTCTGAAGATCCAGTCTTTCTATCTGTATGACTGAAATCATGTCAGCCATCCACCTCTGGAAGAGAGGGGGAGAGGGTGATTCTCTCATTCTCTCAAAATGAGTCTTTTAGCAACAGTCATCCCCTGAATCAGGGACTGTTGCATGGCTGTAGGAAAGCAGAGAGTGGACTGTGAGCAGCTGAAGATAGCGAGTCCAGCTTTCAATTGGATGGTCATTTCATAGGCCTTTGTGTACCAGATGAATATTTTGGGTCAAAATCAAGTAAGTAAAGGGCAGAGTCAGAAAGGGTGACATATTGGGTGTTTCTCAAAGTCAAGGAAGGATCCTGAAATGGCTGAATATTAGGGATGCTACATCATCAAATCCCGCCTTAGGACTGTTTCAATGTCAAGGATCCTTCACATTCTACCAAGGTCCAGAGTCCTTCACTCTGAGAATTTTAAATGATGCATGTGTGTATCCTCAGCAGGTATAAAGTACCCACAATCCTTTGATTTTGCTGGAAGTGAAGGCAGGGCCTCTTCAATGAAACCTGCACCAGATTTTTAAAATACCGTAATTTACAATACAATTAAGATAAAACATAAACGTTTTTAAAGCAGTAATAGAGCACTAAGTGCCACAAAAGTTTCATTTAGCCTACGTGTTTGGTTTTTTTAAGTATAATCCAGAAACATATTCTCCCTAAAAGTCACGTGACTTTGAAAATACTGCTTAGATTTGCCAGAATTATTACAGTATCCTGAAACCCCCTTAGTCTGCTGAGGGTTAATGATGCACACCTGGGGACACTGAATGCTAGGAAGGACTCTTGCCTTGCCTCTGTAGGATCCTTCCTTGGAAAGACTCATCCTACCAAGGATCCTTGACTTTGAGAAACACCAAATGTGCCCTTTGATACTGGACACCTGTCACATAGTGGTGAGACAGAAGGGTCAATCTTTGCTTTTTCCAGTTTGACAGATAAAAAAATGGTTAAGATAATCTGGCTGAACTGTTGATGTTTACACCTTGTCTGACTGTCTGACTGCTCATGTTTTTTGCCCAACTGACTTTGTTGTAGCAATTATGTCATGTCTCCAGAGCTCAACAATTACTTTAGTGAGTACATTGTTATCATAACTGATGGCCCAACTGGCCATTGGTCCATTCTTCAGAATGTGTGCACGTCCATGGAGTCTGGAGAAGAATCTCGTGCCCTTATTGACACTTACTGTTTACCACTCTCACACACTAATAAACCCTCATCTTTCCTCTCTGATAAACACACAAGGTATCCAAGTGAATTAATGAGGATAGAAAACACTGAATCCTCCACAGCGGGTAACTGAGTACTTCACCCCAGCCAACTTTGGCAGTGTGACAACACACACTGTTTGTGTGAGTAAGTGAGATACACGGAGAGATCAGGGGGAGCCTGCGTGCTGCAGCAAGAGCTGTGACAAGAATACAGCTGGATGTCGTGTCAAGAGTGTGTTGGCGTATTTGTTTTCAATGTCCAGCTGAGATGACGGGCAGATCCTAAGAAGCCATCTGTTTCTGACAGAAGGTAATAGAATAGTTTTGATGAGCTACTCAACAGGGAGATTTATTCTGTGATATCTGGGGAATTTACAGGATGATCTAAGTATACAGTAACAGTGCAACTGATCACGACTTATTAAGTTATTTATGTGTACTGTTTTAACAGGCAGAGAATCTGGTGGTGTCATTTCTGATCCTCTAGTCTTACCTTATACCTATACCCAGCTATCCTCCCCTCACAAAAACTTAAAATATTAGTCACATCCCTATTAACCAGAGACACACACTATATCTTGCAAGCATAGCAACATTAGACACTCTCACACAAACGCATTTTCTCCCTTCTCTCTTTCCTTACCTTGTACGGGCAGGGGATGTGATAGTGCTTGCAGTTCTTCTCCATCCACGTTGTCTCCCAAATCTTTCTGTAGGTGTGTTCGTAGAAGTAGCATCCAATCACAGTCAACAAGGGGACCAGGTAGAGCACCGAGAACACTCCCATACGGATCATGAACTTGACTAGTTTTGTCTGGTTCTCCTTCTCCAGAGGGATCTCCATGCGCACCCGGTTCAGAGCAACAATGCCCACTAATAGGAGAGAGACACCCACCTGAAAAAAGAAGGACGAATGAGAGATCCAGTGACGAGGAATGGGAATTCAAAAGATCTTATTGATACCAATTTCATAATGGATTCTGCTTATTGGTCCAGTTCTTTATTGATCCCTGATCAATTTTCTGTGTGTAATAAAGTAGGCCAGCATAAAAAGGGGGAGCTCACGGTCAAGTTGAGGTGGCTGTAATCTGAGAACGAGCTGTAGCAACAGTCTGTCATCATATAAAATGGATGAAATGAGAGAATATTTGTACAGCTTTCGTTTTTATATAGGTTTTCTTAGTCAAAGAAAAACCTGATAAGCCTGCCTAGTGTGTGGCGCTAATGTTATTATAACAGGATAGTTGCCCTCAGTAAGGGATGTGCTACTCAGCTGGGAAGCAGTGGAACTTGTGTGTAGAGTGTCAGATACACAGCAATCCTGTAATTTAAGCCCATGTTGCATAGAAAGATGTTTTAACACATTGCTGGTGTTTCCACCCTAACCTGAAATGACCATTTTACAGATATTACAAGCGGCAATGTTTTTATCTGTCTTTGTGAGAGGAAGCCACGCTTAGGACCGTTTCCTCGTCTCCGCTATGACTCAGTCTTGTTGGAAGTTTCCAGCAGCACAGACGCAAAAGTTTGACGTCATTGTATGTCAGAAACACATGCCGGCATTGGTAGAAGGAATTAAAATGCTCAGCGCCATTCTAGATTTTGATGGATCGAACTGGTTCTTGATTCCCATCTCTATCAGTGACAGATACACATAATTAAAATGAATGATTATTTTTTTAAAGAGCTGAATGAGTAACAGACCAAAGAACTGTCAATCTTCAACCAGTACATTTACTTATCTATCCATCACTCCATATTCCAGCCAAAAATCTACTTGTTTCATTTCATCCACCCACCCATTAATCTGTTCACCCATCCATCCATTCTACTCATCAACTCTTTCATCTGCCCACCCACTCATTTATCTTCTGACTGTACTTACCGCCACGTTGAGGCAGAGTGGTGCCAGAACAAACCACCTCAGGGCATCTATGTCATACAGCCCTATGAAACACACTCCACTGATCCCATCTCCTTCAATTTTGTTCAGGGCCAACAGGGTGACAGTCAGGGCCCCTGGAAACCCCCAGGCAACAGCATGGAAGAGGAGGGCTTTCTTCTCGATGGCCTCACTGCCCCATTTAGGCACAGCGGCCAGGAACCAAGTGATTGTCAGTATGACCCACCACATGCTGCCGGCCATGGTGAAGAAATACAGGACCATGAAGAACAGGGTGCACACCTGAGAAAGAGAGAGTGGGAGCCAAAACTTTTGATCAGTCATGTAGGAGAAGTCAACAAATCATTAATTAAAGAATTTATGAATAAGTTAATCATCTAATAAGCATCTTACTGGAGTTAATAAGACCTACAGTCGAGCTGTCAAATGTTAAGAATGGTTCGTATTCCTACTTAAATATCTGCATCAAATTCAGTATGATCAATCACGTGAGAATAACTGGCTAACTGGTTTTATACTCTGTATCTAAAAATTTAAAACCAAAACTCAACAAAATGAAGAAAGTTAATGATGTAAATGTACATCTTACTACATAAAGTAAACTTACCTTGTTATGTGAGCCTTGTGTTATAGTTGCAGCTCTGAACAGGGATGGGCTGTATGCGTTGCACGCTACCCTGTCTTCCAACAAGAACCCCAGAAAGAAAACCAGTGACACCATGACATAACACACAGCGTAGAAGATTATTGGCCGCTCAGGGTATCGAAATCTAATGGGGTAAAACAAACAAAAGAGCAAGATAAAGAAACAACTAGCAAATTTTCTTTTCACTTCTTTTAAACAAGTGCTTCTTGTGCTTATATTAAAATGTGTGCAATATTTTACAAGTCAAATTTCTAATCACTGAACATTCCATTCAATCCTTCTTGAGTTTAGAAGGCAATCATGCTGTATTAGTTGATGTATAATATCATAAATATTAAGCCATTAAAACCTGGTCACATCGATGAGAAACGTCAGGAAGGTGAAGAGCGTTGCTGACAGACAGAGAGTGGAAACAACTCCAATGAAGTAGCGGATGAAGGTCAGCTCCTGCTGGTCGAAGAACATCGAGGGGCACGGGGCAGAACAGTCCTTCTTGCCCATGAATGTGTAACCCAGGTCTGGGTCGACCTTGAGCTCTCTGGGGCACCAGAAACCGTAGTCTCTCTGGACAGTCATGGATGACTGGTCAGTGGGGTCAGAGCCTGTTAGCAGGTCCTCCGGACGAGGATAGGGCTCGTCACAATCTGGGAACCTGGAAAAGAATGTCAGATCATGCAGCTTAATCTGCAATCAATTTTGGTGAGAGTCTTATTGATATAAATGAGGTGGACAAAATATTTTAAAAACAAACAAACACCTCTAACATAACAAAATACAATTCAGCAGCACCAGAAACTACATTCTCCAAAATGACCTCAAAGCTGAGTCGATACCTTTCAACAAATTCTGTTGATATTACAACCTTCATAACAATAGAATTTATTACAGGGCTGTATTAGACTGCATTCATTTCAACTAGGTGTACCTAATAAACTGGCAACCAAGTGTAGACACATAAGTAAAAAAGCTAATAGAACAGACAAATAAGATATGGCCAGATACCAGCAACATAGCTAGATTGAAATGTTTTAAAAGGTGTGACAGCGAAGAAGATAAAGAGGAAGAAAGGGGGGCTGCTGTATGGAGATAAGGGAGGAGAGGTGACAGTCAACAAAAGTGAGAACAGTGACAAGGTGCTGAAGTTTAGAGTTAGGCTTGGCTTGATGTGGGGTTGCTGTTGGCAGGAGTTCAAAGACAAGCAGCGGGCACAGGAGCAGTGTGGTATATGCAGAACATATACTGCAGGCTCAGTCCTGCACAAATACACTGTATATATTCAAAAGAAAACAAAATAATATTACCAACTGTATTATCTCAGATGCTTCAACACCCTGTTTGTGAAGACACTGTTTATATTTTCAAGTATTGAGCTGATTTAAAATGTAGCACACATACACACCTGCTACACTCCATGTCATCTGGCCAGGCTACTCCAAATACCTCCATGAGTTTGTTGCACTCATCCTTGGCCCGCTGGCAGAGGGATCGACACGGCATAGACACCTGACCGTATGCAGCGCACACCGGAGCGTACAGGGCGCACAGGAACATCCTCAGGTCGGCACTGCACACTAAGTTCACCATGGGATGAAAAGGCTACGGAGAAGATAGGGGGAGGGGAAAAATGAACTTTTTTTTATTTCATGTTTTGGTCTACCACAAAGCTCTAAGACGTGAAATGAAAGCATTGGCAGGTACAAAATAGTGTATCATAGTTACACAATGGTCCCAAAGCTCTCCTGCAAACACCCACATACTCAATCTTTCCAATGTAACATCCCAATATCAGCGAGAACAAGCTTGACAAGGTTGTTATTAAATCTGTCATGCGTGTGGGAATGAAGGGTAAAGTGAACTGCTATCAGTGGCAAATATGAGAAGGCTCACATGTAACCTGAAATAGCCATCAAAGAGGATGGAGGGAGTGCCAGAAGGAGGACAAATGTGTTCTATCTCCTCTGCTGCAACTTATACTACTCAGTATACCATCAATATTTAGAGGCTCATGAAATATGTACAGCAGCAATCATATTACCAAACATCCCTTTGAAGTAGGGGACGTCTAAGACCAACCTCTGAAGGCTGAGCCACAGCCATATGTCAATATACACTGAACAAACAGCAGCGCTATCCACACAACTAAAGATTATTGATTCTGGTCCTTGAAGTCATATTCTTAAAGGTTAAAGAGTCAGGCTTGTGACCTTCAGGCTGCTGATTCAAATTCTCAGAATTACTGAGAAATGCGAGTGATGGAAAAGAGAAAAAAACACCCTTAGCGGTTCCTTTAACAACTACTGCTGACATATCCCTGAACAAATACTCCATATGGAGCTCATTTATTTGTTATTCCATGTAAAAACACAAAGGCAATGGCTCAACTGCCAAAGGGCACTCAAGCACTGTGGGCAGTAATGCAACACCTCTCTTCTGCTGATGAAGTTTAGCTGGTGGCTACTTCCGCTCACGCTGACAAGTGAATAATTCATCAATTTGTTCCAAAAAACCTGCTGTTCCATAGAAATTAAATTAGGCTTGGAATACTGAAAATGCAAAGTATGACATTTTAAAATATGCACCAAGATGATTCGTGAATATGTACACAGATTTAAAACTGAGTAGCTCTCAGCTCTTTCTCTGTCTCTCAAGTCACAGCCTGGTTTGTGAGCTTCATTTGAAAAGAGAACTATGTTTCAGTGAGGATGAGTATCAATAGACAGACACTTAACTGTTTGGTGGCAAATGCTTTGAACTTAATTAGAAGGACTTTAATTTAAGTCTTAACTTAATGTTAAACACCTGTGAAAAGTTCTGCTTTTGTGTAATATGCACCATAGCTAAACAATTAATCACATTCAAACCAACATCATAGTGTAATAGAATGCAACTTTTAAAGCGCAAACACTGCAATTTCAAAAAAAACAAAAAACAAAACAAAACAAAAAAAAAAATGTTGATGCTTCACAAACATTTTCAACCAGGCAGCACAGAAGATCTATACAATCAGCACAGTTTGAAGGTGGACACTCAAGATTAGTGTCACCAATTCAGTGTCTAACCAAATGTCTCCACTTCTGTTCTTGAGATATGATGTTGACTAATGGTGAGAATAGTATTTCTGCAGAACACTATGATGTCACAAGGAACTGACCTTTGACCTTTTGGATATAAAAGTCATCACTTCATAATTTTACCCCATTAGACATTTGTGGTATATTTTGTGAGTTAAGGCCAAGAACATTTTTTGTGAGGTCACAGTGACCTTCCCACAAGGTGTTCTTGAGATATCGTGTCACAAGAATTGGATGTTTGGATGGATGGACAACCCCCAACCATGATGCCTCCAGCCACAGCTGTTGCCACTGCAGAGGCAGAAGTAAACTGCGTCGCAAGCTTTGATGCTTGAACTACTACTGATTGACAATGGCCAAGGCCGGGTTTAAGTACAATCCACATACTGGCAAATTCCATTGCTTCCTGTAGTGAGTGTGTAGTTGAGTAAGTGAGAAAGGGAGAGTGATGGTGGATACGCCAAGAGCTGTTGGCAATCGGAGAGTGCGTGTAATTCCTGATCACAGTCTAGAAGCTAAAGCAGGAATGGTTATTGGTGTTACGAGGCGAGTGGTAGAGCCATAGTCTGTGTGCACTTTGTGTGATTTCTTACTGTAACTGACTGGAGATTAGTTAGATTAATATTTGTTTTTCATATATTGTTCACACCTGTCCTGTTGTTCTGCAGTGCTTTGCTGCCTTTTTTGATTTTATCTAGTAAGTCATGATGGTTATAAAACATGTTTACAAGGCTTGACGTGACAAGTTATAATATTCTTCTGTAAATGCAGGTTTTTACAATTCAATAGCTAAATAAAGATAAGTTATTTATACTAATTTATGCATCAATTCATCTCATTTCGCGATGGCCTTCCTTAAAGAGCAGTGTACTGGTGTGTTGACTCTATCCAATGTTGTGTTGGTTGGACTATAGAATGGTATATTGCTTTTGTATGGCAAATAATGGATAAGAAACTTAAAAAAAAAATCTGCATCGCAATCACAATATTAGTCTAAACAAATTGCAATTAGATTATATCCCCATATCGTTGAGCTTTGATACACACACCCAATATATTCAGCTTTTTTTTTTTCTTTTAATTTTATATACTTTATTAATCCCCCTGAGGGGAAATTCAATTTTTTCACTCTTTTTGTCATTAACACACAGGTCCGAAAGACACACACATGCACAAACAGGACCTATACATGCACAAAGTGGAGAGATGTCAGAGTGAGGGGGCTGCCTTGGTCAGGCGCCCCGAGCGGTTGGGGGGTTCGGTGCCTTGCTCAAGGGCACCTCAGCAGTGCCCAGGAAGTGAACTGGGACCTCTCCAGCCACCAGTCCATGCTCCATATTTGGTCCGGGCAGGGACTCGTACAGGTGACCCTCTGGTACCCAACCCAAGTCCCTATGGACTGAGCTACTGCCACTACCTTATTGATGTGCTCATACATCAACAACCATCAAAATTGTGTGCACTGAGCGCTGTTAGGTTTATGTGTGCCAAATGACCTGCATCTGTTCAGCTATTAAAAAGTCCATATTATCTGGCTGCACCAAAGCGTTTTCAATGCAGCTTTTAAAAGAAAAATCAGAGCAGAACTGTGACAGCAATGACTCGAGACTACAACAATCAGCAACGTGTGTTTGTGTGGCTGTGTATATAAATCATGTGTACATGGGACACAAAACAGCACACTGACATTGATTGCTTGCCACAAAAGCTACAGAATATGTTTGCAGACTGTACGAGTGAATTTGTGCAAATACCCATGCATCAGTGAACGTGTATGTGTGCGTGTGTGTGTATGTTTTATGCATGTCTATGTGTGGAACCAGGCCTTGTGAGTGTGTTTTGATTGTTCTGAATTGCTGTGTTCTAGATCAGCACATTGGAGTAAAGGTCCACCAGTAAATGGGTGCAGCAGTGCATGAGCTGTGTGACATAGTTTTGAGTATTGCACAGACACATGTAGGCAGGCACACACACACTCACACACACACTCACACACACACACACACACACACACACACACACACACCACTCTGCTCCGTTCAATAATTCACGCATTTTACAACCCATGCGTTTCCTTAAGTGTGGACACGCAAGCTTCTCTGTGCAGGGATGTAAAACACATGAGCTCTGATTGTGGACTAAACCTCATGAAATCCAGCGTGCCCTACATATGAACCACAACATTCTAAATACATAATTATGTTTGGCTGTTAAATATTGAATGTGTTAACATGCTCATTAGTATCCTGCATTTGAGTCGGCGTGCATTTGTGTCTTTATTTCTCATCATCTCAATCACTATGTACTTGTAATATACAGTGGAGAATTGGTGGAAAAGAAATAGGGCTGGGTGATAAAACAATAACAATTAACAATAATTATCTCAATACAATTTTGATCTTCTCGATGAAGATATAATAATGATCAATAAATCCTCCATATACACCACCCATATGCCTGCAGAGGAGGACGATAATTCACCTTAACCACCAGTTGCCATGCTCCATTAAGTAGAAGAAAAAGAAGAAGTAGTAGCAGTAGTAAAAGAAGACGAGACCGCCTACTAATGCTTTAATTATGGATAACATTGTTGGGCTACCCTACGATTGAATTTGCCACATATCGTTAGCTACAGTAGCTGTTTAATCGACTCATTTAATGCTAATAGTAAGTTAGCAAGTTAATGTGACCGACTTGCGGCTATTTAATTAGAATGATGTGACATAACGTGACTAAAGGTTACATGATAAACTTTAAAACATATCCTCATCAGTTAACATGATTTCTGCCCTTTCATTGGCAAGAAGCGATCCCACGCTGCCTGAAAATGTTATCAAACTCCGTCTTTTGTTATTGTTTTGTTTGAGAAACAGCGGAAATTAATATAGTAATATAGTAAAACTTGTAGAGAAAGTACTAACCCAAGTTGAGATTTTTGTCTATTTATTTTGTTTACATTGTCAGTTAAAACACAATATATTTCAAACAGAATTAAGATTTCTTTGTCCACTTATTATTTTATTTATTGACATTATTTTGATTATAATTGTTTTGAAGCTACATCAGATTTAATGATAATACACTGGATTTATATAGCGCTTTTCAGGATACTCAAAGAAATGTTCTGCCATTTGACAAATGTTGGTCACGTTCTGACAATAAATAACAGTTTAAACCACAATTCACTGTATGGATTCTTCAACTTTTACTCAGAAACAAAAATCAGACTTTAAACTTGAAAGAAACAATGATATTACTTTTTAAGCCTGATAATTATCAATATTGACTGATAGAACTTTTTTTATGGTGATAATATTTTTAGCCATACCGCCCAGCATTAAGGAGAGGTGCTGCCTCCTTAACAATTTTAATTGGGATGCCTTAGTAACTGTACAGGACTGTGCCTGATCACAGGACTGATCAGACTCTTATTTGAACATGACAATAAAAGAGGAGGGCCTGACTTATGGCCTGGCTACATGGCTAACCAATACTATCAAATATGTTCCATATTCATAACTGAAA